AGGGTTTCTCTGTGGCTTAGTAGACTGTCCTGGAACTAGCTCTTGTAGACCAGGCTGGTCTTGAACTCACAGAGATCTGCCTGCCTCTGCCTCCTGAGTGCTGGGATTAAAGGCATGTGCCACCACCACTCAGCTCACATCAAGTCATTCTTATGACGAGGGCTTGCTTAGGAATCTGGTAAAAGTGAGGGAAGGTGATTCAAGAGGTGTAAGAAACACATTCGCCATTGGCAGCCTATAGACTTGATGTGGGTTCTACACTGAGCAACCTGCTGTAATAGGGGAACGGGACAGAAGACAGAAGTGAACTGCCCTTGTGTGAGCTCAAGTGGTGCTGTTTTTTGTTTTGTTTTGTTTGGGTTTTGGTTTTACGAGACAGGGTTTCTCTGTGTAGCTTTGGAGCCTATCGAGACAGGGTTTCTCTGTGTAGCTTTTGGAGCCTATCGAGACAGGGTTTCTCTGTGTAGCTTTGGAGTCTATCTTGGCACTCGCTCTGGAGACCAGGCTGGCCTCGAACTCACAGAGATCCTTCTGCCTCTGCCTCCCGAGTGCTGAGATTAAAGGCATGCCAACGTCCGGCTTCAAGTGGTGCTGTTTTAACTGAGATGATTTGTTGCTGTGCTTGTGTTTAGGCTATGAGATTAATTGTGTCTCCCCAGAGCTCTAACCTCCAGCACCTCAGCATGCCACTATATTCAAAAGTATTATTGTGTTAAAATGAGGTGGTTAGGGAAGGCTCTAAAATATACAGCTGATATCCTTTAAGAAGACATTAGGACACAGAGAAGTACCCGACAGAAGCACACATTGAAGACCATGAAGACTCACAGCAAAATACTGGCCATCTACAAGCCACAGAGAGAGATCACAGATCCAGACTCTCGGTTTTGTAATTGTGGGAAAATAAGTTTCTGCTGGATAAGCCACCAGACTGTGGCATTGTTGGAGTTCAAACAAGTCCAAACAGTTTACAGTGTATCATAGCACAACACACTGAAGGAGTCACAGATGAAAGGACCAGCTGACTGGGACTTGTTTCCAAATAACCTTTGAGAGAGGATGTGGGAAGGGTGGTTTACAGAAGGAACAAGACTGGTTAAGACTGGCGATGAGCTGTGTGGGTCTCGAAGCAGGAGCTGATATACTGGGTTTGTCCCAAGTCCACTCTACTATTCTCCTCTCTCCCTGCTCTGAAGTTTTCTACAATGAAAAGCAAAACAAGATCTAACACAACACAGTAACAATAACAACAAATGAAGAGGCAATAAGAGATGAGACTCAGGTTTGCGACTCTGAAAACCTTGGCTGTACAACAGGCTCCTGAGGAGCTGGGCCCCCAGCTCTGGTGTCTTTTAAAATTTCCCAGGAGGAATTCTACCGATGAATCAGTTGTATGACAATTGCCTCTACAGGGGACTAGAAGTTTACTAGGAGATTAGTAAACACCATGTTCCTGGAAGAGGAAGCTTTGAACTGTCAATACAAAATCTTCTATGTTAATTTATAAATCACAATTCTGATTTTAAAATGTTGATATGCTGTGCTAAGAGTTGGGCAGTTATCCACTTTGTATTCCTTCACTCCACTGAAGTTAAGCTTGGTAGTGCTTGGGCCAACAAATTGTGGCCAGGAGTGATCTCTACCATTTCTAACTTAAAGCTTCTAGAGCCAGGCTCTCGATATCCCCTGTGAGGCTGGCCATGTTCCAGTTGGTGGCCTCTTTAAACCCGGGCCTCTTTATGTAGACAGTAATGATGGAGACCCAGGGCCCCAGGCTATGCCATGAACATGTAGGGTAAGCAGATATACACCTCTGCTTTTGCATTGCTGGGCTTTGGGGATATGTATCAGTTACTCTATCTTGTCTCGTACAGAAATCCAACACGGAATTCGACCAAACACTTCAAAAGTTGGGCTGAAAGGAGGAAAAGAGTGGGTGACAAAAGTGTACACCCTGAAGGAGCAGTGAGTCAGGATTAGTGACGGCAAACACCAGGCTATGTCAAGCGCAACGATGACTTAAAACAACTGATGACTTGCTATAGATATAAAATTCTACAGAGATATTTGTGCTGAGGTGTGAAAGTAATATGTATGATTTGCAACTTGATTAACTGTAGTGAAGGTTTTTTCACTTCTAGTTTCCCTGTCAAAAGTAACAAACCTGGACTTTGCCACTCCTATTAAAATAATGTTTCTTGCTCACCAGTCCAAGGATTCACTTATCAAAAATCAATTAATTATAGCTAAAAAGCAGCTGCTGAGAAAATACCGACTCTTTAACATCTTGAAAGCCACCACAGATACGTTAGATTTCAATATGCTATCTGAATTCTAGATTTTTATACCTCTTGAAAGTCATATTTGTTTGACTTCAACCCTACTAAAAGGTGCAGAGCAACAGCTAAACGATATACTGCCACAGAGCAAAGGAGCAGCCCAGCCACAAAAGTCACGTCTCTTTTATGTCTCAAAAAACGGTGTTCTGGAAGAACCTGGGACCGAGACTCAGTGCGAACACCTTGTCAGCTGTGGTTGGACTGGAGTGTCTGACCCAGGGTCCCAGTCTCCTGCCTCGGGTCTTCTCTGAGAGCACACCCTGCCCGGGGCCCCGCTCTGCTTCTTCTCAGCTTATCTCCAGTCTGTAATGTTGTCCATCTCCCTTATCTGCTGCCCAGCACACTCTATGGATGAGCTGCCTGGCTCTCGGAGACTCTACCAGCTCTACCAGCTGTGAGATGACTCTGAAGGTTGCAACAGCTGGAACTAGGCTCCGGTCTCAACTCTTCTACTTTCGGGCTTGATGCCCCTGACTAAACGGTTCTTCTGAGTGCTTCAGTATTTTTCACCCAGAGTTGTTAAGGGGATTCTAGCTGCCTGAGACAAGTACATATACTAGGTCTTCACTGATGGCAGTGGCTTCTTACTCTTCTTTCTTCTTTTTGACAGGGTCTCAACTTCTATATAGTCAAGGATGACCTTGAACTTCTAATCTCCTGCCTCTGTCTCCAATATCCATGGGCTACACCTCGGCTATGCAGTGTTGTAGACTGAACTCCTAGGATTGAACTCTCATGCTGGTTAAGCACTATACCGACTGAGCTACACTGCCAGGCCTCTCACTGCCGTTTCTAATTTGTGTTGGTACACTTGATGTTAGGTAGTGTTTCTAAGTGCCGGTTGAGCCTTGCAGCCAAGCCACGTGTTATTATCTTCTACTTATCCAGATGGCTTTCTGTCTAATCCAGCATCTTATCATCACCCCCTATTGTTTTCATCTGCGTTCAAAGTTGCCTTGTTTGGCTTTTTAGAGCCAGTTCTTCCCCCACATATCACATCCCCCATGTACCTGGGTTAAGTGTAAATCTGGATTTTCATCTCTGTCTCAAACCACTGACCAGAGTGTTGAGCACAAGCCACCTGTAAAACGGGTGTCTGGAATGGCAGTGTGCATGACCCCATAGAAAACATGACAATATGCACAAATATATAGGAAAAATGTCAGTTGCATAATTCTATCAGAAATCTCCTTCTAAGATGTCATTGATGGGACGAAAAGGCCAGATTGGTTGTTTCACCAGCTTAGGAGGCTGAGAAAGGAGGATCACATGCTCAAGGCCCACTTGGCAACAGATCAAGTTCAGAGCCAGCCTGGGCATCTTAGCAAAGCCCTGTCTCAAGATAAAAATGCAAAAGAGTTACAGTTATAGCTCAGAGACAGGCTGCTTGTCTAACCCGCAGGAGACTGTAGGTTCAGTCCCTGGTACTAAAAGAGGAGAAAAACAAACAAACAAACAAACAAACCCAAAACTATGAACATGATACTCACAGCAACATTATTTAAAATACTGAAAACCTCTACACCCTGTGACTATAACTAAACAGAAATGAAGCTCTTAAAAAGATTCAATATAATGACTATGTAGCTTTAAAGTGATTATAAAGTTACTTTAAGTTACTATTTGTATACAAACTGTGTCTGCAACTAAATAAAAACTATGTAAATATGGATAAAAACCGAAGGGGAGAACAAAGAATTAGAAACTGCCATTATGGCAAGATTATAGATAGAATGTTCAGTTGTTTCTCATTACAACATATTACAATTTGTTCGCTCATAACCACCCCAAATGTGAACATATAGATGCATTTTTCATGTGCTTATTATTTATGTGTGCATATATAATCTGAAGAGAGAGCCAATGAGAATCAAGAGTGAACAGTTCAGGGCTGGTCATAGTGGTGCACACTTGTAATCCCAGCATTTATGAGGGAGAGGCAGAAGGATTACTGCAAGTTCAAAGCCAGCCTGGATGATAGCTTAAGTTCTAGAGCAGCCTGTGCTACCAATTAAAACCTTGTTTTAAAAACAAAACCAAAAGGAGAGACAGTTCAGAAGGGAGAACTTCTGGTAATGAGTTAAATAGTATTTGTGCAGTAAAGTTAAGAAGTATTTGTGCAGCCTAGTGTGGTGGTGCACACCTTTAGTCCCCCAACCCCCCCCCCCCGCCCCCAACACACACACATTTGTGTGAAGTTGACAGCCTATTCCTGTCCTCAAGGAACCTGAGGATCCAGCAATCTGCTGGATTACGGATTCCTTTCGGCCGACACTAATGCACTGCACTACATCTTTGCCCGCCTGGTAGAATCTGGAGGAACAGGCGTCAGGGTGGCATAGTGAATGGTGTAAGTCCAGCTGTGAACCTGGTCTCCCTGGCTCCCTGTGGCACTCTCAGACCAGTCAAGGCCCAGGCAAGACCTTCCCTTATGAACCTCTAGGCACTGTAGGTGGCGTCCCACCTACAAAGCTGTTCAAGGCACAGCATCACAAATGCCAGCACAAGTTGGCTGCTGTAACAAGTGTGCCCTATCATCTCTAATGGATGGTCACAAATTCTACACAACACAAGGCAGAAGGCAGAAGGAGCTTGGCACTTTCAGTGAGAACAGAAAAGGGAGAGAAAGAGAGGCTCCACTTGGCCATGCCCCATGCTTACCATAGGTGAACATCCGAGGGGATGTCAGCTCAATGTTGGGCAGGGCTCCCAGGTGGTTTAGCACTGCACACCGGTAGCCATTTTTCTGGGCATAGTCAACAAAGGTTCGGATATACTGCTTCTCACTGTGATTGGCAATTCCAGGACAGATGACCATGGTGATGTCATCTACAAGGTGGAGAAAGAGAGCCTTACATATCCACTTAATATTTGAACACGGACAGGGTTTGAGGTGGTGGGATTATGAGAGATTATAGGCAATTCCCCTCCCTCCAGGGAGGTTTAGGTAGAAGGATCACCTGTGGGCTACATAGTGTAACCCTGTCTCAAAAACCAAAAACAAACAAAAGAATTAACTTTCAATTTTAAAAATGGCAAGGGCTGGAAGAGATGGCTCATCAGTTAAGAGCACTGGCTGCTCATCCAGAGGACCTGGGTTCAATTCCCAGCACTCACATGGCAGCTCACAACTGTCTATCTCCAGTTCCAGGGGATCTGACATCTTCATACAGATGTACATGCAAGCAAATCATCAATGAGGTAAAATAATAATAAATAAATCGTAAGAAATAGGCTTCTGCATTTCACAAGTGGATCACAATTCTGTACTGATCTCTGCTACCTATGAACTAGCAAGCACAGGTTAAACTGCAGGTCATTTGCGTGATGTCATGCCCCCCCCCTACTAATGCAATGGGATAATGGGTGGCACAGGCATTTATACACTGCTCTCCACTTGTGGGTGTTCTCTCTCTCCAGGCCCAACACTATGGTTCGGGAACTCCACTATGGTTCAGCTCACCTCCAACACAGTGCTCAGCCAAGGGCTCGAAGAGATCGAATGTGGAGGTGGCTCCGTCAGCCATGGTGATGAACTTGCGGTGCCCGTAAGGGTGTGGGGACCTCACCCTTCCCATCTTCCCATACAAGGCTGTCTGGATATGTCCACTCTTCCCCCAGATCAGCGGTGGGATGTATCTGAAAAAGGAGAGGAAGAAAAATAGGAGTGGCCTCATTTTTAAAGCTTTTACCAACACATTTTGCACATTGGTCAGAAACCCAACGGTTTTTTATTTGCTAGTTTGTAAAAACTTGTTTCGCTGGGCGTGGTGGTGCAGGCCTTTAATCCCAGCACTCAGAAGGCAGAAGCAGGAGGATCTCTGTGAGTTCAAGGCCAGCCTGGTCTACAGAACGAGTTCCAGGACAACTGTCACTGCACAGAGAAACTCTGTCTCAAAAAAAAAAAAAAAATCTGGTTCAACTGTAGCTTTTGTCAATGCAGGGGATAAGATCCAGGCCTCATGCATGCTGAGTGAACACTCTACCATTGAGCTGAACATTTTTACCACCTCTTATCCAGGCAACCATTTATTCCTCTTCTACATTCATTAATGCCTCCTACACCAGATTAGCTTCAGAAACCAACCATGACTTCAAATTGAGAGCTTAAGTGATTTAACACGGGTCATTTCTATAATAGAGGGGAAAAAGGAAGCAAATAATACCCTTTGAATACGTCCTTCATGATAGGGTTGGCCTTATTATTATCAAATGAGCCAATACATACAATGTGGCTTGCATGGCACCTGTGCTCAGTAAATGCTATAGCTTCTAAGTGCAGCTCCCTTGGAAACCAGTCCCCAGACAAGTTGCTTCTTTGGGGCTGGAGTGGTGAGAGAAGGGTGTTTAAGAGCCATGGAGCTACTTGCCAGCAAGTGCAAATATCCCTGCAGAAGAGACTGCATTTGGGAAGCAGGAGAAGGTATTTACAGGGGCTGAGTGGTTAGGATAGTAACAAAAGGCAGCCTTATAAAAATAATACAATGTCAGACTCAGCCACATAGTTTACAAAAGCTACCAGACAGTTACTGGGCCGTGTAGAGGGAAATGGGTGCACATGGAAACCAAACTCCTGAGTAAAATTGGAGGAATGTTTTCCTTACAGTATGAATAAAAGGATAAATAAAGCAAGGTTAAAAATATCAGAACAGGAGACAGGTGGATCTCTGAGTTTTGAGGCTAGCCTGGTCTCCAAATCGAGTTCCAGGACAGCCAGGGCACAAAGAAAAACCCTGTCTCAAAAACAAAACAAAATAAACAAAATACAAAGCAAGAACAGGTATATTTCATATGCTACTCTTTAATTTTGTTTAGAACATGATTTAATCTTGGAAAATAAGTCAAAAATACAACCAAATCTCCTTTTGGCTATTTGCAGATTTTGCGTATCATGATGCCATTGTCCATCCTCCTCTGAATCTTGGCAGTAGCCTCACTGTGGCCTCCTCGCCTCCACCCTTGGTCCCCCACCCACTCCGCTGTTCAATTGTCCACCTTGCCAATGGAGGGAGAATCTCAACACACAGATCTTGCTGCAGTCCTCCAGTGCATGGGTCTTTAGCTTGGCCTAGGGGGTGGTCACACCCTGGCACTCCCTAATTCTCTCCCTAAGCTCCAGTACACCTAAACTAGTGGCTCAGCTTCACCTCAAATGGACACTACTGGGGAACAGTGTGTCTATTCCGGATGCCCGTTTGCCACCCTGGTCCCTTCCTGGCCAGCTGGGCCTTGTCCTTAGGACTTGCTCCCAATCAGGTTGGTTGCTGGGACAGTTGTCTCATCTCTGTGTACTGCTCTGTCCCAGAACCCAGGCAGCTCCATCACTAAGGGGTTCTTCCCAGGCACACCTCTTTCCACATTTACCCCAGGGTCTATGGCCAAGGACCCACATTAAGCACCCAGATTCTGAAATAAATCTGCTGAAATAACAGAAACACACCCACTTAGCAAATCATAGGTTTATAAAAAGTATATTTTAAAAAAGATAGTATGTATCATGATAATGTGAGTCTAGTCTCATCTGACTGGCATTTGGTGACATTCTCAGTAGAATAAAATCTCGAAAGTGTATGTTGGGTGGGGGGCAACTGCCTTGGAATCACAGTATGAGGTCAACTATGCACAGTGAAAGTCTCACAATTTTTAATTGTATGACAGTACCACCTACTGATAAAACACTGTTTTTAATTAACTTCCCAATAACACACAGCAGGACTCACAACGCTGTGATTAAGTTCAGTGTGGTGGGTTTCTGACTCTATTTTTAAAAATATTTATATAACTTATCCAAAAACCACAAGAAAAAAAAAAGTCAAAACAATATTTAGAATGGTCCAGGTCATGAAAGAGATACAGACACAAAGGATAAAATATTCTGAAGTTTATCTAAACAATACACTGAAGAGATGCTGCTGACATGGTCTGTGGAAGGATATACTTACTCTAACTACCTATGCAGCAATTTGTCTGAAAATATAAAAGCCATTAACTCACTTGTCATTCTTGTGTCCGAAGGTCATCTCACTAGAGGATCTAGGCCAGTCTGGGACGGGTTGGGTGGACAAAGTGTAGTGGAAGGACAGCCCTATGCACCTGTCCCTTAAGACACCTGGCAGGTTTTGTGTTCATAACCTTGGAAGTTTGACTGCCCAACAGGTGAGAAGAGAAGTACAAGGGGAACCTTGGAGGATGTGTGTATTTTCAATTTTATAGATAACCCCAAAATGCTGTCCAATGAAGATGGGTCGATTTGTAATTTATGTACCACCAATAATACATGAGAGCACTTGTTTGGCTTCTTCACCCTCATCAGTAATTGGTATTATTATTATTATTATTATTATTATTATTATTATTATTACATTCTGGCCACTTTAATGGGCACCTCATTAAACTTCAACATGTTTAAAGTTGATCTAATTTATAATTTAAAAAAATGTCTCTTGGGCTGATGAGTTGGCTTGGAGGGTAGGAAAGCTATTTGTTGCCAAGCCTGATGACCTCAGTCCAATCCCCAGGAACCACATGGCTACTGCCAGTTGTCCTCTGACAGCCACACGTGTGCATGGCACACATGTATACTCCAAATAAGTAAAAGTGTTTCTCATTTCAACTTGTGTTTTCCTGACTCATGTCTCCTACTATTTAGTTTTATTTTTCTTCTGTGAATTCTGTTTATAGTTTGTTTTTATATTTTTACTTTTTCCTGTTAATTTTTATTTTTACTAGCTCTATATTATTAAACATTATCATTTATGTGTTGGAATTGTTTCCTTATTATAGTGTATGTTTTATTTTATTTTATTTTTAACATTTTTTAAAGATTTATTATGTATGCAGCATTCTGTCTGCATGTATCCCTGCAGGCCAAAAGAGGGCACCAGATCTCATTACGGATGGTTGTGAGCCACCATGTGGTTGCTAGGTGTGAACTCAGGACCTTTGGAAGAGCAGTCAGTGCTCTCTCTCAACCTCTGAGCCATCTCTCCAGCCACTGTAGTGTATGTTTTAAGTACACATTTTTCTTTCTTTTTTTGAGACAGGGTCTAGATATAAAGCCCAGACTGACCTTGAACTGCCTCAGACTCTCGAGTGCCAAGACTACAGGTATGCATCATGATGCAAGAAAGTTTATTTTGATTTTACATACTTTTTATATTTTGTGGTTAAATTTAGTAATTTTAAAAATTAAACATTTATATTTTGGCTCCTCCTCCATCTTCTAGTTTGAATTTGTTTTTAAGACAGTGTCCTGTGTAGCCTGTGCTGGCCTTGAACTTACTATGTAGTTGAGACTGGCCTTGAACTCTTAGATCTTCCTGCTTCTACCTCTAGAGTGCTGGAATTGTATACAGGCTTGTACCACTTCTGACTTTGCAGGGTATTTTAAGAAGAGCGATTCTAACATCCATCTATAACTATACCACTTATTCCCTTTTATCCCTATAGGTTTTTTTTTTTTTTGAAATGCACTTATTTCTCTAAGTAATACGGAAATGTAATTCATCTCTTCCTAACAGATGAGTTCACTATTCTTGCATAATAATAAGCAGTCCATTCATCCAGACTGATTTCAACCATCATCTGTAATAGATGCCAAGTTCTCAGACATATTTCTCTGTTCTCTATTCTGGTTCATCCATCTATTTGTCTATTCATTTGCCAGTATGGCTGTTTCAATCGATACCTCTTATAGGATATTTTGAGAGATGAAAGTTCAGGTCGTCTTCACTATTCTTTTGCAAAGTTTCCTTGGCAGGTTATTAAATTCTCCAGATAAATTATATGACCAGCTTGCCGAGTTCCTGAGAAACTTTGAGAAGGCTTGACTGAAAACATATCAACATGTATTACCCTGGGGCTAACAGACATCTTTGCACTGACTTCTTCCTTCTGAAAACATGGCACATCTCCCCCAGGTCCTGTGGTAAAGCTTTAGAGTGTGCAGTTGGACTACAGCGCTTTGCATGGGGTCATGCATATTGGTAAAAGCTGTTCCAAGAGCTGGAGCATATGGTCATGTTTATCTCTAACAAAGCAGGAATAATGTCTCCTCCTTTTCTAATCCACTTGCTGCTCTGTCCACTGTGGTGCGGAAGCTCGTTACTAAGAAACAAGCTAGACCACAGCAAATAGAGGCCAGCCTGTCCTTATCAGATCAACATCTGGCTTTCCTAACAAAACTGCCCAGTGGGAGAGACTGCAAGGGGAAAATCTGGAACCCCCCTCCTGCCCACATGCCCTGAGGCACGCGCACACACACCCACCCACACACAGAGAGAGAGAGAGAGAGAGAGAGAGAGAGAGAGAGAGAGAGAGAGAGAGAGAGAGAGAGAGAGAGAGAGAGAGAGAGAGAGAGAGAGAGAGAGAGAGAGAGAGAGAGAGAGAGAGAGAGAGAGAGAGCATTGCAGGGCAGGTGGAGCAGGGCAGGTGGTTTCTGATCTTTGAAGGAAGAAAAATAAAGTTGACTAATGCTTGTTTGCCCTAACTCAGGGTGTGACCAATTTTCCTTGTATTACCTGGACCCCTGTGTTGTAAATCTAACTGCTTCAGTGGTGGTTGTCATTCCCTTTGACTCTCTTGTACCTCTCTATCAATTTAGGATTTGATGCACAGTTGTGGATACATCCCCGAGACTG